CCAAGAACTGTTGGAAAGAAAGTTACATCAAAGAAGATAGCGTGAGAGGATAAACAATGTCAAGTTAAAGAACGAAAAATTTGGCGCGTCTGTATCCGATTTGCATCCATACTACCAAAACTCTCCAATCACTGGTTTATGTCATCTTGGATTCCCTACCCAGGTGGTCTACACATACCAACGGATAGGGACCTAATGAACTAGTGCCGGGTCTTTGTCTGGTCACTATGATCCCTCTTCCAACCCAGTACAGCTTCCCCTAGCTGATAGGCGGTGGATCGGCCTGCGTAACATGTCCAAGCAATCTCAGACGACTAAGGTTAAACCATGTTGCCTAGCCCTCTTTGCCTGACCTCATCATGGCTCACACGGTGAATCCACCAAAACATGAGCAGTGTTACGGAGATACTTGTTACCAAAGTCCTGTAATCTCTTTGTGTCTTCTACTTTCAAGTGCCATGTCTTACGCCCGTATAATGGGACAGGACGGGCTGTAGCGCACTATACTCGTTTCGTAGTTGGATATCTCACCAGTTGGCGCCGCTGACGATGGAAGCTAGTCACTGCCGAACAGGCCTGTACCCGAGGTGAGATTTAGTCAACCAGCTCGTTCAGGCTTATGGGACTCTTCAAGGTAGTGGTCGACACATCGCTCCTTATCATCACACAGGGGCTACTTGCAGCATACCAGTCCTAAAGCATCATCTTACATTTATTAGATGCGGAGAGTACTCAGATTTCTGCTCAACGCGTCCAGAAGGCCCTGGATCTTGTCAGCGTTTCCTCGTAGCAGAATAACATAGCCTGCATACTCCAGGTTAACCAGATGACCAGCGATGAGTTCAGAAATACCTAAGGTTACGTCCGTTAGTGCACCCAAAAGAAATTCAAAAAACGATGGTAGCGGGTATTTCTGCCACATGACACTAGTTGTTGGCAATCCTAATAGCATATCTCCTCAAGCTCTTGCATGGTTGCGCGGGTTCCACTGTATATATATGTATATATATACATATATGTTAATATGCTTGGCCGGTACTTTCTCCGCCACAACTCCCGATCGACAAGTTCAAATGCCGTCTTCAGGTCCACAAATTTGGCAAGTGTCAGCCCCGTTAGGCATGCCTGTGTTCCGTAACTTGTCGGAGGGTAAGATTCTGGTCGGTGCACCCTCGTCCAGGTCCGAGACCTGCTTAGTATTCTCCAGTTGGGTGCTCTCGAGCTCCACTTAGGCGTTGGATAATTACCGATTCCGAGTTTTAGGGCACAATATTAGTCAAACCACTTCCATTGTGGTCGTCACAAGATATCTCCCCCTACTTATGAACTGGGAGGACCGGATAAGTAAAACTATCTGACGACACTACCTCTGATTCCTATACACTCCCTAGAACTGCCACTTTATTGGGCAATATTCTATCTCCGTCTCTAAGAACTTCGAGTGGCAAAGTATAAAGTCCTACTGCTTTGGATCGTTTCAAGTTCGATAGGGCTTTCTCAACCTAAAGGAGATTTGGAGGACTGACATTCATATCCCAATCAACCCAGGTGCTGGGTAGCTGGAGCGTTGCTGGTGGCCGGTTGAAATATGCTTCAAAGTGTTCAGCGCAACGTTCTAGCCTCCTGTCGTGGGAGGTTATCAACGTCTCATCCTTTTCGGTGATGGTTTCACTGACCATGGTCTTCTTGCCGATATCCCTGATAAGCCTAAATAGTTGCTGAGTGTAACCACTGATGCCTCTTCACTCTCTCTCTCTCCACCCACAACTCCCAGTAAACGCGAAGACTCCTGGTCAATTTAAGTCAACTTACTAAGTATAACTTGGTATGTTACTCTTACTCTGCGTAGTGAGATCCATCTGAAATCAGTCTGTTCGGATGACGTTTTCTGACCTTCGGGTGTCGGTTGGTCATCAAATGTCTTTACCTCTGTTCCTACAGCAGACCCAGTTTTCTCGTGATGAAAACTGCTGTCATGTTCAGATATACTCTTGATCAGCTCTTCCCTTAATACGTGCTTGGAGTCCTTATCTGCCAATCGAGCACTGCCTTCTGTGACCAGCAAGACACAGACACGTACTAGCGCGTGATCCGAGTGTAAAGGGGTACTCCATAAGTGGCATTCCTCCACCGACCATCTCCAACATTATCTTATAGCAATATGGCTGATATGTCTATCGCTGGTTTGTTGCCGGTGTGCGACAGTTTCTCCTTATGCTTGAAGAAATAGGTGCTGTCACGTTTCAGTAGGTCATCTAAGACCTGAAGATGTCAAACCTAGCATAGAATTTAGTGCTGAACAGAAACAAGTGATTGTCGCAAATTGAGAGGTTGGGCAAGGCGTAAGAGACCTAATATTAATATCAGGAGGTGAAGACGGCTGAGAAGAATTGGTGATGTTTGATTGGATCATGTGTGCGTAAAAATATAAAGATTAGAGCCAGCAAGCCACATCTGGGCAGGTTCGCATCCCCTGCACCCAGGCGTCCAGCCAAAACATTTAACGGTGCTAAGTTCTCAGAAAGTAAATTCAAAGTGGAGGGTATGCGGTACATCTGTGCTAATGAGCGAAGATTCAATGTTGAACTTGATGAGCTGTAGGAACTAAATAACTGCAGCTATGCTGGTGAAGGGTAGTAATTTGCTTTAGTTCTTCTGTTGTAGCGCACGAAATTCACATTCATGAGGCGAACTGTCTTGAGGAGTTCATCCAGTACTCCATAAAGCTGCCCATCACCACTTATTTCTTCATAGGACGACATCTGAAAAATGTTGGAGGCAACCACTTACTCTCTGTAACTGAGGTGCACATATTCAAATCCTAGGAGAATCTAACTTCCTCAGGGCAAACTTTGTAGATCAAGTGTTTGGAGGGAGTGACTACTGTATTGAAATCCGATTCTTCACCCTGGTTGAAAAACTGCGATTAACAGAAAACTGATGATCAGCAACTTAGCGGAGATGCACTTAAAGCCCATCCCACCTGGTTTACACGTTTACAACGGGCGAATTCTTGATGGGTAGCCTAACAATCATACCGCTTTTGGACAGGAGTTATCCTGTTGCTGTCGGCTTCTTAAATACCTGTGAAATCAAATTTACCCGATGTTTCAGGGAGTGTTGTTGGAGCTCTCTTGTATTGACCATCACAGCCCCTCAAGTAGCGCTTGAACAGGCAGCCTAGGAAGTTGACCATATCTAGTAAGATTTGGACACCCATTAGAGATTCGAACTTGACAATATCAAGTATGCCATCAGCCAGACTGTTTAGCTGCCAACCTCAAAGTGCCCGAAGCCATCTAAGTAATCAAGTGCGTTAGTTTACTTCATATGTTGAAAAGTAGAACACAAAGGGAATCGTAACGGGCAAGCGTAGACTATTAAAAAGAAGATCCTGTACCAAATCATTGAGGGCTGATAGGGAATGGCATCAAGGTAGGTCTGCAAACATATCTTTTCTAACCCGAGGACTCTGTTTCGCTATGCTGCATTGTTTCCACAACCCAAGGTGGGAGTCTCCAAACAGGTTCAAACGGGCTGACCAGTCGTGACAGCGAAGCAACAAAAATGCAAGCGGGTCAACATTTTTGGATCTTCACATAATCGGGCACAAACTCAACACTTAGTGATTATCCCACCAACTGACCCAACGGTTCAGCTAGTACAATACGAACAGCCATATAGGAAAAACGATAATTTCGAGGCTGCATATATCCATGGGGCTGTTATGTGGGGAGGAGCACCAACCTTTTCTGACTTCTTGAGTGAGTTACTTAAGGATTCTTTGAGTCAAATGGAAGTGTTTGATCCCCGGAACTTAAGTCACATAGATCGGTTCTTCAGTGAAAACCAATGAAACAACCCGAAGAACTAAAGACTGGCTGCTTTTTAATCCAGACCTTCCAAAAGAATGAAACTACTCAACATACGACTGACTAACGGACCACCTCATATCGATCAACCTCATCACACGAAAACAACGCGGATCTAATAAGGAGTGCTCCCAAATTACTAACTTGCTCATAGCAGGTGATAGGTGAGTCAGTGTTGTCGACTCTCGAGACAAGATTGGTATTATTTATTTAAACTTCCTCGAAGTGTTTGATCATGTTAATGACAAATGTCTGATAGGCCAAAGTTAATCGGAATCAAACCATTGCTCACCTTACAGTTGTTTTCACATCTTCATGGCCGTTTATTTGGATTTTAGACACATCTATTTCTGAGGTGCAGAAGGTTTATAGGGAATTTGATAACGGCTTAAAAAATCCTAAGCACCACTGCCCGCCAACAACGTCACCTAATTAACCTCACTTGTAGCACCGGTCTTAGATAACACCCAGAAAATAGCCCTAGAAGGTAGCAGGTTAGATACTGGTCCTAATCCTCACGTCCTACAAGTCTCTAAATTTCGGAACACTTCCTGTAGAAGTGGTCGACAGCTACTTCGTCTGAATCCTCCAAACACCGACACGGCATCTGCTTGTGATTCGGACAGTAACTCAGTCAACACTAACTTGCTTCCAATTTTTCAGCCGTTACCTTTTTTGTTTCTTTGTTTCGTGCATAAGCTGTCAGGTGATGCAACTTGTGGTGCACAGTATCTAGATAGCAAGGCCAATTAAGCGAAAGATTCTCTTTCGCTGTCTACTATTTGAAACCGTTTGCATTGTTGAAATGAAGGCTATTGAATTTAGAAACAAACTTGTTGCTGTAACGTATTCACAAAAATTTTTTCTGTTACACTGTCACCAAAAATAACTTCAACAGAACTAAGAACAACACTAGACTGTGTATCCCAAACCCAGAGAAGATAGGAATTTAAATGGAAGCTAAAATCTGACTCTTTCTAGAATGAATGCACCGAAAAAGAATGATTTCCATATTTCAAATGGATCCTGTTTTTTATATACTTTTTGTAAAAATGTCTCATGTATTGAACATTGAATAGGGTTTGTTTGAACTCCACTATCCGGCATTCCATTTTACATTCTGTTAAGATGAGTGACCCAGCGGCTGCACGTATTTTGTCGTTCAAGAATGCAGGGAAAAGCGCAGATGTAAATAAGACTAAGTGTAACCTTACCTTTTACTGTAGGAAATGCGACGCCGTCGCCAAGAAGGCCAAGTGGAGCTTCGGAAGACCAAACGCGAAGAGACGCTGCAGAAGAAAAGAAATATCCCAGGTTTAGTTAGTGAACCACCAGCAGCTGGTGATCCAGTTGAAGCGGAAGTTGAAACGACAGGGAAGTCCACTTTGTTGAACCTAGAAGCCATCGTGGCAAATGCTTCAAATGAGGATCCTGCTGTCAGGCTTCTTGTCGTACAGTCTGCTCGGAAGCTTCTTTCTAGCGATCGAAACCCACCAATCGATGAGCTTATTAACGCCGGTATGCTGTCGAAATTGGTATCATGTCTAACAGTGAAGAGTGAGTTGGTTTTTCTGATATGAGGTTTATCGTTTCCGGTTACTGACACTACTAAGTGCTATTTGATCCGTTTTTGTGACGTTGTCGCGTACGCGAACGAGTCAGCAACAACTTTCAATCAGTGGGTATCGACAGCATTGAGTTGGTTTGTCTACGTTTGTGAATATGTGCATACATATACGTATATTTATGTATTTATGTGCATATATACTTTGGCGTAAACATATTGTCTTTGCTCGTGAAAGTGGTAAGGCTTGAAAATCTGTTGTAAATGTTCTCTTGCTTTCAGTTTATCACACTCCCCAGTACGAGAGATAGGTCTGTCAAAAGCCGAGTACTGACTTCAAGAACGCAGTCTTTTTGTTTTGTTTTTCAATTTAATTGCGGTGGGACACAGTGGGCAGCATCGATAGGGTGCGTGAACTACTGGCTTAAGTCAACCTGCAGGTCAGTAACTAGTGTTGAGATGAAAGATAATCGCGTCTTCGTGATCACCTAATAGGTGGCGAGGTTATCATTGTTCCTGATTTGTCCCTAAAATGTAAGGACTAACTAGCTTCGTTTTTGTGGGCACCTTGGCACTCCTAGCGTATCGTGTATCGTAACCAACATTCACCAGTCAGACAGCTAGCTTTCTTATATCTTGCATGCTTCAGGAAATCTCTTCCTGACCCCATCTGGTCGACTACCTACTAGACGCGCGATAAGATTCTCGTAACATTGCATCAGCGACTGTATCCTAGTTCAGCTGTATGCATAAAAGCGGTGGCAACTATTTTAGTCGTAGTGAGTGCTGATTGTTTGCCCTATTCCAAGTGCCGCCCTGAACTTTGTCACAGGCGAGTGTGGGCTCACTCGAACCGGAGGTGATGGATTATCTACGGTACTTTAAACTGGAAACTATTCGATGTAGTCGCACATCATGGTTTACACAAGTAGACAATATCGTCACAGCAAAGCTTTGTAACCACTCAGTGACTGCTTCGCAACTTTTCAAGTTCGAAACAGCCTTTTTAACTCGAGTAAGAGTTGGTGGACTAATATCCACTTATTCAGTTTGAGGCTGGACTGCGAGACAAGTGCAGCCAAACTGTCAGTGTTTTGCTGAGTGCATGAGTCGGATGTCGTGGAGGACTCATCTTGCTCGCCAATGGATTCATTAAACGTTTTGTTGCTATTTACTTTAAGTAGCTTGCATGACTGCCTAGTATTACCTGATGTCTTCTCCGTTGATTTGGTCGCCTACCACTGCTTGGGGTCATTGCGAAGACTTCTAGTTATCTGTTCGAAGCTGTTGTTCAGTGCATAGTTTTGCAGGAGAGAGCAGTGAGCTAGTGGGGACTCTCAAGTTTTGTTGACTGAGGGAACTGAGACATGTACCCACATTCCAGTCCATTATTTCTCTTCCCCTCTATTTGTTATCTTGGCAGAGAAAGGATTAAGTTGGGAAAGCCAAAAATGATCAGGATGGAATACACCATCAGCTCAAGATGCTTCATATAGTCAGAGCTGTGTCGAGGAACGAAGACTTCGTGAAACCACCGGTTCTGGAAGTGGACGCTTACTAACCAGTAGATGTTTCCATAAAATTGCGGGTCATGGACTTACACTTGACTTTCATGCAGCCAGTGTCGAGTTGTATGGCCTCATTAAGTTCTTTGGCTTAAGTAGATGAGCCGTCCTAGAAACTCGGTGAGCGTGGTTCATAATGTATTGCGTGAAACCTGTGTTAGTGCGAGTTGTAATTCATTTGAAAGTATTATGTGAGGTTTTAACCTTTGCTTTATATATGGTGTAGAAGGTCTACAAGTTTGGTTGATTTTCAATGATATATTTATTTTAGTCCTAACCTCCAATTCGAAGCTGCATGGGCTCTGACAAATATCGCATCTGGTACATCTTCCCAGACTCTGGCTGTCGTTCATGCAGGAGCCGTCCCACTGTTTCTCAAGTTGCTGTCTTCTTCGCATCCTAATGTCTGCGAACAAGCTGTTTGGGCACTGGGCAACATTATCGGAGATGGTCCTGGTTTGCGTGATTATGTTATCCAATTGGACGTAATAAAACCTTTACTAAAGCTGTTAACGCCAAACATACCGTTAAACTTCCTTCGCAATGTCACTTGGGTCATGGTCAACTTGTGTCGCAATAAGGATCCACCTCCACCTGCTTCAGCTATAAGGGAGTTGCTCCCAGCCTTATTATACCTAATAAAACACACTGATGACAGTGTAAGTTTTTCCCATGGTATATTCACGCTATCTCAATATTTAGGCTCAGCAGTACTATATGGTTGATTTGAGTATTTTGCATTATATTTGAACGGGCAATCGTTTGGCCCAGATGTATCGCATTCGTAGCATATTAGTCAAGCATATATTCTCTTTCGTTCATTTTAGCTGATGTAGTTTTCGTACTATAGTTAAATGACCTATCATTGGTAACTTGCATTACCACATATGACCTCCCACAACAGCGCATCCTTTCAATACGGGGAAGGCATGTACCGCTGTAGAATTTTCAAGTTCAAAAAATTGAAAAGGTTAAAGGTACAAGACGATCAAGGAATACGAAGTTATCGAGATCCCATTTTTGTGTGCCTAGATAGTTTCCTTCTTGGTTTCTATAAAAGCAATTTTTTTCCTTTGCAGATTTTAGTCGATACTGTTTGGGCTATATCTTATTTGACTGATGGAGGAAGTGATCAGATAGAAATGGTTATAAATGCGGAGATCGTACCCCATCTAGTCCCATTACTGTCACACTCGAGCTTCAAGGTGCAAACTGCAGCGCTGCGTGCTGTCGGCAATATAGTTACAGGTTCAGATCAGCAAACACAAGTTGTTCTGGATTGTGGAGCTCTGAGTCACTTTCCAGCCTTGTTGACTCATCCCAGAGACAAAATAAATAAGGAAGCTGTTTGGTTTTTGTCCAATATAACTGCAGGAAATCAAAGTCAAGTACAAGCTGTGATCGACCACGGTCTAGTTCCGTTGATTATTCATCACCTAGCTGAAAGTGAATTTTTAACACAGAAAGAAGCTGCATGGGCTATTTCCAATCTGACAATCAATGGAGATGCAGAACAGGTACCACCTATATAAGAATTTTGTTTTTGTGGTGTTTTCATTCTTGACTTTCATCTGAAAAGCCGTGAGAAGCTAGTGCCACTTAGCAGTTACCGTTTTTTATTTGATCACAGTTGTGTGTGCTACGTGTTTTTCAGGGTTCCAACCAGGCTCATCGCTTTCAATTCGATATGTAGATACTAAGCTCATATTCGTTCTATGATATAACGGCCATAATTTGATGGCATCCTCATTCATTGCGTTGTAGAGATAATTGCCGATAAAACCTTAAGGGCATGTAACTGGGAAATTAACAACCTGGTTTGCCAGGATTCAGTTTCATTGCACCTAGAAAGTAACCTAACAGTCAGTTTTCTTTATTCTAATACTGGTTTAATCTCCTCTTCTAGGTGAGGTACGTCATTGATCAACGTGTTATTCCTCCATTGTGTAAAATGTTGAGTACACGAGATGTACAGGTGGTTCAAGTCGTCTTGGATGGGATCTCAAACATACTGGCAGCAGCTGGTGATAATTTAGAACAAGTGACAACTGCTATCGAAGAGTGTGGTGGTTTGGATCTTATTGAAGCCCTTCAAGAACACCAAAACACAGATATTTATCGTTTGGCTTACGACATCATCGAACGCTATTTTAATGAAGGGGTAAGTTTTTTTAGTGTGCTGTTGTACGTCTCCAACTACGTCAAAAATATATTTACTTAAAATTTAGGGACGTGCAACACAGAAAGCATTAAGACTTGCACATATCTCGACTGTCTTCAGTGTGCAGCTGCTGAAAGTTGTGGGTTGCCACGAGTGGTTCTGTTTTTCAAGAGATTCTCCCAGATGAGTCCAAGTAGGTTCAGTACTAGGTGCTAGTTAGGCGAGTGCTGAAGTGTACATATTCCATCGTCCAGTCAGATTGCAGTTCATCGACCAAGATATTCGACTTCCAACCAGAGTCAGACTTTACCTACTGATTCTCATCACTTGGTGAATGATCGCATGTATCTGGTTGCAGATAAGCGGTAGTTATTGTACAGTGTGATATCACTTAGCTTTAAAATTATTTATATTATTATTTGTCCCTTGGGTTCCTAGTGGAACATAGGGCTTCAGTAGCACGTCAGCTTTGAAATGTCACTCCAGATTAATAACTTCTCTGTAGCTCTAGTCCCACTTGCTTTCGGCGAAAAGTACTTGTATTTACCCACTTGAACCATTCTCGTTTTTGAATTTATTTCTACACAGCAGGCAATAGTGTTAGGTGAAGCAAAGATTCATTTCCCGGTGTTAATAACAACTGGTCCTATGTATATTTACTGACTTGACAGTAGTTCAATGTTCTTTGAGGTCTGGTTTTCTGTCGCGACAAGACTGAACACACTGCACCGTGTCCAATCTCATCCTGTTCTACAAATCTTTATTTCTAAATTAGTCGATTTGATGGAATGCATCAACATGAATAAATCAATGTTACATTAGTCCATTAGGGCAAACTTTTGTGATGTTTATGATCATTTGTCCTCCAAGTCATCAGATGCAGAGCATTAGATTTTTAATTCCAAGTAATTCTTTTACCCAACTATTAGATGTAAAATTAGTTGTAGCTTGGCAGTGGAAACCTATATCTGTTGCTGACTAACTCATGCAAGCTTTAACGATTCACCTACGTCCCACTTTTTCTAGATGATTGAAGATCCCAGTACAGCATCGGTGGTTGCTGAAGATGAACACCTGGGTGGTTTTACTATGGTACCTCAAGTTCCAACTACTTTCCAGTTTGATACTGATCAGTGTAACTCTGATGCAACCGGAGGATTTGATTTTTAGTTGCTGTCATTTGTTACTATACAACAAACAATAGTTTGGAAAAATAAAACAAATTACACCTAGGTTACTTCCTTCGTACTATAATCACATCAACATGTACCACAATTAATATTTTTACTTCTGTCTTATCATTCGTAGTTACCTTATACTGGACATTAACTATGGCTCAAATTACTATTTTGATATGCTCCGACCTTCAACAAAATTCCGCTTGTTTTATTACTTCATATGGCTTTATTCTCCTCTCAATGCAAATTAAATTATTCGCAAAAGGTCTCTTACACTCATATTTTCATAAATCCTTATCTTTGGTAGTCTCTCAGCTATCCTAGTTGATTGGTTGACACCGATAAAACAACCGCCCCTCTCTATTTTGCATTTACTGAAAGCCGTTCATGCGGTTGTGGTTCTACTATTTCATTCCTTCGAGTTATCTCATCTGTTAAGAACGTAATCTTTACACTCCGTCGAATCACCAGTTTTAACGTTTCTCTCAGTTTAAACACCTCAAATTTTGCTCCAAGGTTTCTCCCCGTCTGTCGCGTTGCTAATTCTTAAGAAGTTTCCTTAGATCCATTTTTGTATGTCTGTATAAAGCTTTATGATTGCCTTGGCTGTTTGCCTATTCCTATTTGTTAATTTATTTGTTTATGAGTGTTTGATTTTATCTCATCTACTTTTTTGTTCGCGCTAGCATGTCTTCCTAGTTTTTTTCATTTTGGGTCAGCTCAGTACCATATAACCTGGTGATTTGGGCTGACCTTCCAGTCAATTTTGCCTTCAGTCTTATTTTCGTCAATCAGATTTCCGATTTTTCCTGGTGTGATTGTATAACTTATTATTTTGCCTTTGTCTTTCGGTACTCCAGTATCTATTTGCCTTTTCTGTGGACTTTTGTTTGTTGAACCACTTTCTTTAGGTCTTCCGCGTCGTTGATTTTTGAGTTTCTGAATTTTCATGGCATGTCTGTGATCTTAAAAAATGCGCAGTGTTTGGTTTCTCTCTACTCTCAATTTTAATCACTCTAGTAATCTCTTAGTCTAGTGAATTCATTTTTGGGGTTTCTACCTTGTCTTTCTTACTTCCCTCACCTTTAGATCTCTTTGTACGTCCAACGAAATGGTTATTTCCTCTTTCAAACTGCTGCCTCTCCCTTTGTATATACCTTCTATTTTGTCCCCAAGCCTCATAAATCAACTTTCACAACCTTACTTCATTCCCCTCTTTATTGGGCGGTTGTGCTTCAGTTTCCACCATCTGATTCTTCAGTCCTACTTCTATTTTCCTTTTGTGGTGCCCATCTAAGTTATTGACATTTTTCCTCATCAAAATTTCTTGTTTGTCCATCAGTCAATGCATAGACAACCGCATCTACACCTCTTTATGGATTTGATGTTTATTGTTTAAGTTCATTGTCAGTGGCTTGGGAATCTATCGAGATTACAAATTATTCGATGATGTTTGCTTTCTGTTCTGTTGAATAATTGATTCATGAATACACGTGTGGACTTGTAAACTGCCCTTTAAGATTTTATCTAATGCGTTATTAGACCATTGTTATGGCTTTTGATTACATTGCTCATTTATCCTTGTTTTGGTTCAGTCACAGTTTACCTACATCTTTGGTAAGGTCAGTCATTTGTTTTAGGTTTTTGGCAGACGTTGAATTTAGCTGGGTGACGTTATTCACAGTAAATTTTGTAGTTTCTCCAAAATCGAGTGACAATTTTATCTGGATCACCCCTATTTTCTGAAATTGCTTGCTTTTCCTCTTATTGTGCACCTAACATAGTATGGTTTTCTCTCCTTGGTTAATTCTCTGGAGTTTTATAAATTTATTAAATGCTTGTCCAAATTACTAGCTTTGTCACCTATCTAAAGAAGCGAAGTATAACTTTCACCTCGCAGTGACTAGGGTCCTTCGTGATGGAGTTTTCTGGAGTGCATGCCTCCAGAGCTACTTATTGCATGTGGGAGGCGATAAGCTTTCATCGTCATGCATCCTTTCTGATTTTCAATTACGGTAAGATAGTGTTTCCGCAGTAGAATTTTATCCTCAGATTTTGTGCTGACACTGGCATAATCATCCATTCAGTATTACCTGTCACAGTACCTATTCAAGGTCCGATTACGACCTGAAAAAAGTATCTGCCCACCTGAATAGGTTCGGAGCACAATGCAAGGAAACCTCTGTTTTGAATTGAAGATAAAAACATCATATGCATAACCAGAGGGTTCAATCAAGCTTTTGGCTCGAGTTCTTGAGCAGCTTGGTCCCTATATATTTGGTCACAGAAACAATGGGAATAATAGTGACCATTAAAATTAAGTTGCTTTAATATTTTAGTTCGCTGCGGACAACTGCATACCGATTGGTACTGGAATGGTGACGAATTTCGATATCCGTGATGATAGGTGACAAAGTTACAGGAAGTCAAAAAAACAGCTATTGTTGAACTTAGTGAAGTGACCAGTTAAACACTTGAATCAGAATTTGTTTGTGGGAATGGGTGAACTGACAAGCAATCATTACAGGAAGGTAGGAAGTTTGATAGGGCACGGAGGGACGCTCAAAATGTGCTGTGACGGCTACCCAGTTCCATGCTGGATATGGTGTAGATGTCGGCACTTGGACCTTCATCGGGATGGGAAAACCGATCCGAACCTAATCTGTGGCAGATCGAAACAATAGAAGAACCTTAAAAAAGGTAATGGTAAAAGGTTCCTGGGTACTAGTTTAAGATTAGGAACCAGATAGACATTCTTATCGTGACATGTTTGGGAAATGCTTCAAGACGCAATACCTCATTTCAGAGTTTTAAACGAGTGTACTTATTGGTTGGCAAAATCAACTTAAGATCTCGCAAACGGGTGCGTCGGCTCAGTTTACCGCATTTCACAGAAGTGCACCAAGAACTGTTGGAAAGAAAGTTACATCAAAGAAGATAGCGTGAGAGGATAAACAATGTCAAGTTAAAGAACGAAAAATTTGGCGCGTCTGTATCCGATTTGCATCCATACTACCAAAACTCTCCAATCACTGGTTTATGTCATCTTGGATTCCCTACCCAGGTGGTCTACACATACCAACGGATAGGGACCTAATGAACTAGTGCCGGGTCTTTGTCTGGTCACTATGATCCCTCTTCCAACCCAGTACAGCTTCCCCTAGCTGATAGGCGGTGGATCGGCCTGCGTAACATGTCCAAGCAATCTCAGACGACTAAGGTTAAACCATGTTGCCTAGCCCTCTTTGCCTGACCTCATCATGGCTCACACGGTGAATCCACCAAAACATGAGCAGTGTTACGGAGATACTTGTTACCAAAGTCCTGTAATCTCTTTGTGTCTTCTACTTTCAAGTGCCATGTCTTACGCCCGTATAATGGGACAGGACGGGCTGTAGCGCACTATACTCGTTTCGTAGTTGGATATCTCACCAGTTGGCGCCGCTGACGATGGAAGCTAGTCACTGCCGAACAGGCCTGTACCCGAGGTGAGATTTAGTCAACCAGCTCGTTCAGGCTTATGGGACTCTTCAAGGTAGTGGTCGACACATCGCTCCTTATCATCACACAGGGGCTACTTGCAGCATACCAGTCCTAAAGCATCATCTTACATTTATTAGATGCGGAGAGTACTCAGATTTCTGCTCAACGCGTCCAGAAGGCCCTGGATCTTGTCAGCGTTTCCTCGTAGCAGAATAACATAGCCTGCATACTCCAGGTTAACCAGATGACCAGCGATGAGTTCAGAAATACCTAAGGTTACGTCCGTTAGTGCACCCAAAAGAAATTCAAAAAACGATGGTAGCGGGTATTTCTGCCACATGACACTAGTTGTTGGCAATCCTAATAGCATATCTCCTCAAGCTCTTGCATGGTTGCGCGGGTTCCACTGTATATATATGTATATATATACATATATGTTAATATGCTTGGCCGGTACTTTCTCCGCCACAACTCCCGATCGACAAGTTCAAATGCCGTCTTCAGGTCCACAAATTTGGCAAGTGTCAGCCCCGTTAGGCATGCCTGTGTTCCGTAACTTGTCGGAGGGTAAGATTCTGGTCGGTGCACCCTCGTCCAGGTCCGAGACCTGCTTAGTATTCTCCAGTTGGGTGCTCTCGAGCTCCACTTAGGCGTTGGATAATTACCGATTCCGAGTTTTAGGGCACAATATTAGTCAAACCACTTCCATTGTGGTCGTCACAAGATATCTCCCCCTACTTATGAACTGGGAGGACCGGATAAGTAAAACTATCTGACGACACTACCTCTGATTCCTATACACTCCCTAGAACTGCCACTTTATTGGGCAATATTCTATCTCCGTCTCTAAGAACTTCGAGTGGCAAAGTATAAAGTCCTACTGCTTTGGATCGTTTCAAGTTCGATAGGGCTTTCTCAACCTAAAGGAGATTTGGAGGACTGACATTCATATCCCAATCAACCCAGGTGCTGGGTAGCTGGAGCGTTGCTGGTGGCCGGTTGAAATATGCTTCAAAGTGTTCAGCGCAACGTTCTAGCCTCCTGTCGTGGGAGGTTATCAACGTCTCATCCTTTTCGGTGATGGTTTCACTGACCATGGTCTTCTTGCCGATATCCCTGATAAGCCTAAATAGTTGCTGAGTGTAACCACTGATGCCTCTTCACTCTCTCTCTCTCCACCCACAACTCCCAGTAAACGCGAAGACTCCTGGTCAATTTAAGTCAACTTACTAAGTATAACTTGGTATGTTACTCTTACTCTGCGTAGTGAGATCCATCTGAAATCAGTCTGTTCGGATGACGTTTTCTGACCTTCGGGTGTCGGTTGGTCATCAAATGTCTTTACCTCTGTTCCTACAGCAGACCCAGTTTTCTCGTGATGAAAACTGCTGTCATGTTCAGATATACTCTTGATCAGCTCTTCCCTTAATACGTGCTTGGAGTCCTTATCTGCCAATCGAGCACTGCCTTCTGTGACCAGCAAGACACAGACACGTACTAGCGCGTGATCCGAGTGTAAAGGGGTACTCCATAAGTGGCATTCCTCCACCGACCATCTCCAACATTATCTTATAGCAATATGGCTGATATGTCTATCGCTGGTTTGTTGCCGGTGTGCGACAGTTTCTCCTTATGCTTGAAGAAATAGGTGCTGTCACGTTTCAGTAGGTCATCTAAGACCTGAAGATGTCAAACCTAGCATAGAATTTAGTGCTGAACAGAAACAAGTGATTGTCGCAAATTGAGAGGTTGGGCAAGGCGTAAGAGACCTAATATTAATATCAGGAGGTGAAGACGGCTGAGAAGAATTGGTGATGTTTGATTGGATCATGTGTGCGTAAAAATATAAAGATTAGAGCCAGCAAGCCACATCTGGGCAGGTTCGCATCCCCTGCACCCAGGCGTCCAGCCAAAACATTTAACGGTGCTAAGTTCTCAGAAAGTAAATTCAAAGTGGAGGGTATGCGGTACATCTGTGCTAATGAGCGAAGATTCAATGTTGAACTTGATGAGCTGTAGGAACTAAATAACTGCAGCTATGCTGGTGAAGGGTAGTAATTTGCTTTAGTTCTTCTGTTGTAGCGCACGAAATTCACATTCATGAGGCGAACTGTCTTGAGGAGTTCATCCAGTACTCCATAAAGCTGCCCATCACCACTTATTTCTTCATAGGACGACATCTGAAAAATGTTGGAGGCAACCACTTACTCTCTGTAACTGAGGTGCACATATTCAAATCCTAGGAGAATCTAACTTCCTCAGGGCAAACTTTGTAGATCAAGTGTTTGGAGGGAGTGACTACTGTATTGAAATCCGATTCTTCACCCTGGTTGAAAAACTGCGATTAACAGAAAACTGATGATCAGCAACTTAGCGGAGATGCACTTAAAGCCCATCCCACCTGGTTTACACGTTTACAACGGGCGAATTCTTGATGGGTAGCCTAACAATCATACCGCTTTTGGACAGGAGTTATCCTGTTGCTGTCGGCTTCTTAAATACCTGTGAAATCAAATTTACCCGATGTTTCAGGGAGTGTTGTTGGAGCTCTCTTGTATTGACCATCACAGCCCCTCAAGTAGCGCTTGAACAGGCAGCCTAGGAAGTTGACCATATCTAGTAAGATTTGGACACCCATTAGAGATTCGAACTTGACAATATCAAGTATGCCATCAGCCAGACTGTTTAGCTGCCAACCTCAAAGTGCCCGAAGCCATCTAAGTAATCAAGTGCGTTAGTTTACTTCATATGTTGAAAAGTAGAACACAAAGGGAATCGTAACGGGCAAGCGTAGACTATTAAAAAGAAGATCCTGTACCAAATCATTGAGGGCTGATAGGGAATGGCATCAAGGTAGGTCTGCAAACATATCTTTTCTAACCCGAGGACTCTGTTTCGCTATGCTGCATTGTTTCCACAACCCAAGGTGGGAGTCTCCAAACAGGTTCAAACGGGCTGACCAGTCGTGACAGCGAAGCAACAAAAATGCAAGCGGGTCAACATTTTTGGATCTTCACATAATCGGGCACAAACTCAACACTTAGTGATTATCCCACCAACTGACCCAACGGTTCAGCTAGTACAATACGAACAGCCATATAGGAAAAACGATAATTTCGAGGCTGCATATATCCATGGGGCTGTTATGTGGGGAGGAGCACCAACCTTTTCTGACTTCTTGAGTGAGTTACTTAAGGATTCTTTGAGTCAAATGGAAGTGTTTGATCCCCGGAACTTAAGTCACATAGATCGGTTCTTCAGTGAAAACCAATGAAACAACCCGAAGAACTAAAGACTGGCTGCTTTTTAATCCAGACCTTCCAAAAGAATGAAACTACTCAACATACGACTGACTAACGGACCACCTCATATCGATCAACCTCATCACACGAAAACAACGCGGATCTAATAAGGAGTGCTCCCAAATTACTAACTTGCTCATAGCAGGTGATAGGTGAGTCAGTGTTGTCGACTCTCGAGACAAGATTGGTATTATTTATTTAAACTTCCTCGAAGTGTTTGATCATGTTAATGACAAATGTCTGATAGGCCAAAGTTAATCGGAATCAAACCATTGCTCACCTTACAGTTGTTTTCACATCTTCATGGCCGTTTATTTGGATTTTAGACACATCTATTTCTGAGGTGCAGAAGGTTTATAGGGAATTTGATAACGGCTTAAAAAATCCTAAGCACCACTGCCCGCCAACAACGTCACCTAATTAACCTCACTTGTAGCACCGGTCTTAGATAACACCCAGAAAATAGCCCTAGAAGGTAGCAGGTTAGATACTGGTCCTAATCCTCACGTCCTACAAGTCTCTAAATTTCGGAACACTTCCTGTAGAAGTGGTCGACAGCTACTTCGTCTGAATCCTCCAAACACCGACACGGCATCTGCTTGTGATTCGGACAGTAACTCAGTCAACACTAACTTGCTTCCAATTTTTCAGCCGTTACCTTTTTTGTTTCTTTGTTTCGTGCATAAGCTGTCAGGTGATGCAACTTGTGGTGCACAGTATCTAGATAGCAAGGCCAATTAAGCGAAAGATTCTCTTTCGCTGTCTACTATTTGAAACCGTTTGCATTGTTGAAATGAAGGCTATTGAATTTAGAAACAAACTTGTTGCTGTAACGTATTCACAAAAATTTTTTCTGTTACACTGTCACCAAAAATAACTTCAACAGAACTAAGAACAACACTAGACTGTGTATCCCAAACCCAGAGAAGATAGGAATTTAAATGGAAGCTAAAATCTGACTCTTTCTAGAATGAATGCACCGAAAAAGAATGATTTCCATATTTCAAATGGATCCTGTTTTTTATATACTTTTTGTAAAAATGTCTCATGTATTGAACATTGAATAGGGTTTGTTTGAACTCCACTATCCGGCATTCCATTTTACATTCTGTTAAGATGAGTGACCCAGCGGCTGCACGTATTTTGTCGTTCAAGAATGCAGGGAAAAGCGCAGATGTAAATAAGACTAAGTGTAACCTTACCTTTTACTGTAGGAAATGCGACGCCGTCGCCAAGAAGGCCAAGTGGAGCTTCGGAAGACCAAACGCGAAGAGACGCTGCAGAAGAAAAGAAATATCCCAGGTTTAGTTAGTGAACCACCAGCAGCTGGTGATCCAGTTGAAGCGGAAGTTGAAACGACAGGGAAGTCCACTTTGTTGAACCTAGAAGCCATCGTGGCAAATGCTTCAAATGAGGATCCTGCTGTCAGGCTTCTTGTCGTACAGTCTGCTCGGAAGCTTCTTTCTAGCGATCGAAACCCACCAATCGATGAGCTTATTAACGCCGGTATGCTGTCGAAATTGGTATCATGTCTAACCAGTGAAGAGTGAGTTGGTTTTTCTGATATGAGGTTTATCGTTTCCGGTTACTGACACTACTAAGTGCTATTTGATCCGTTTTTGTGACGTTGTCGCGTACGCGAACGAGTCAGCAACAACTTTCAATCAGTGGGTATCGACAGCATTGAGTTGGTTTGTCTACGTTTGTGAATATGTGCATACATATACGTATATTTATGTATTTATGTGCATATATACTTTGGCGTAAACATATTGTCTTTGCTCGTGAAAGTGGTAAGGCTTGAAAATCTGTTGTAAATGTTCTCTTGCTTTCAGTTTATCACACTCCCCAGTACGAGAGATAGGTCTGTCAAAAGCCGAGTACTGACTTCAAGAACGCAGTCTTTTTGTTTTGTTTTTCAATTTAATTGCGGTGGGACACAGTGGGCAGCATCGATAGGGTGCGTGAACTACTGGCTTAAGTCAACCTGCAGGTCAGTAACTAGTGTTGAGATGAAAGATAATCGCGTCTTCGTGATCACCTAATAGGTGGCGAGGTTATCATTGTTCCTGATTTGTCCCTAAAATGTAAGGACTAACTAGCTTCGTTTTTGTGGGCACCTTGGCACTCCTAGCGTATCGTGTATCGTAACCAACATTCACCAGTCAGACAGCTAGCTTTCTTATATCTTGCATGCTTCAGGAAATCTCTTCCTGACCCCATCTGGTCGACTACCTACTAGACGCGCGATAAGATTCTCGTAACATTGCATCAGCGACTGTATCCTAGTTCAGCTGTATGCATAAAAGCGGTGGCAACTATTTTAGTCGTAGTGAGTGCTGATTGTTTGCCCTATTCCAAGTGCCGCCCTGAACTTTGTCACAGGCGAGTGTGGGCTCACTCGAACCGGAGGTGATGGATTATCTACGGTACTTTAAACTGGAAACTATTCGATGTAGTCGCACATCATGGTTTACACAAGTAGACAATATCGTCACAGCAAAGCTTTGTAACCACTCAGTGACTGCTTCGCAACTTTTCAAGTTCGAAACAGCCTTTTTAACTCGAGTAAGAGTTGGTGGACTAATATCCACTTATTCAGTTTGAGGCTGGACTGCGAGACAAGTGCAGCCAAACTGTCAGTGTTTTGCTGAGTGCATGAGTCGGATGTCGTGGAGGACTCATCTTGCTCGCCAATGGATTCATTAAACGTTTTGTTGCTATTTACTTTAAGTAGCTTGCATGACTGCCTAGTATTACCTGATGTCTTCTCCGTTGATTTGGTCGCCTACCACTGCTTGGGGTCATTGCGAAGACTTCTAGTTATCTGTTCGAAGCTGTTGTTCAGTGCATAGTTTTGCAGGAGAGAGCAGTGAGCTAGTGGGGACTCTCAAGTTTTGTTGACTGAGGGAACTGAGACATGTACCCACATTCCAGTCCATTATTTCTCTTCCCCTCTATTTGTTATCTTGGCAGAGAAAGGATTAAGTTGGGAAAGCCAAAAATGATCAGGATGGAATACACCATCAGCTCAAGATGCTTCATATAGTCAGAGCTGTGTCGAGGAACGAAGACTTCGTGAAACCACCGGTTCTGGAAGTGGACGCTTACTAACCAGTAGATGTTTCCATAAAATTGCGGGTCATGGACTTACACTTGACTTTCATGCAGCCAGTGTCGAGTTGTATGGCCTCATTAAGTTCTTTGGCTTAAGTAGATGAGCCGTCCTAGAAACTCGGTGAGCGTGGTTCATAATGTATTGCGTGAAACCTGTGTTAGTGCGAGTTGTAATTCATTTGAAAGTATTATGTGAGGTTTTAACCTTTGCTTTATATATGGTGTAGAAGGTCTACAAGTTTGGTTGATTTTCAATGATATATTTATTTTAGTCCTAACCTCCAATTCGAAGCTGCATGGGCTCTGACAAATATCGCATCTGGTACATCTTCCCAGACTCTGGCTGTCGTTCATGCAGGAGCCGTCCCACTGTTTCTCAAGTTGCTGTCTTCTTCGCATCCTAATGTCTGCGAACAAGCTGTTTGGGCACTGGGCAACATTATCGGAGATGGTCCTGGTTTGCGTGATTATGTTATCCAATTGGACGTAATAAAACCTTTACTAAAGCTGTTAACGCCAAACATACCGTTAAACTTCCTTCGCAATGTCACTTGGGTCATGGTCAACTTGTGTCGCAATAAGGATCCACCTCCACCTGCTTCAGCTATAAGGGAGTTGCTCCCAGCCTTATTATACCTAATAAAACACACTGATGACAGTGTAAGTTTTTCCCATGGTATATTCACGCTATCTCAATATTTAGGCTCAGCAGTACTATATGGTTGATTTGAGTATTTTGCATTATATTTGAACGGGCAATCGTTTGGCCCAGATGTATCGCATTCGTAGCATATTAGTCAAGCATATATTCTCTTTCGTTCATTTTAGCTGATGTAGTTTTCGTACTATAGTTAAATGACCTATCATTGGTAACTTGCATTACCACATATGACCTCCCACAACAGCGCATCCTTTCAATACGGGGAAGGCATGTACCGCTGTAGAATTTTCAAGTTCAAAAAATTGAAAAGGTTAAAGGTACAAGACGATCAAGGAATACGAAGTTATCGAGATCCCATTTTTGTGTGCCTAGATAGTTTCCTTCTTGGTTTCTATAAAAGCAATTTTTTTCCTTTGCAGATTTTAGTCGATACTGTTTGGGCTATATCTTATTTGACTGATGGAGGAAGTGATCAGATAGAAATGGTTATAAATGCGGAGATCGTACCCCATCTAGTCCCATTACTGTCACACTCGAGCTTCAAGGTGCAAACTGCAGCGCTGCGTGCTGTCGGCAATATAGTTACAGGTTCAGATCAGCAAACACAAGTTGTTCTGGATTGTGGAGCTCTGAGTCACTTTCCAGCCTTGTTGACTCATCCCAGAGACAAAATAAATAAGGAAGCTGTTTGGTTTTTGTCCAATATAACTGCAGGAAATCAAAGTCAAGTACAAGCTGTGATCGACCACGGTCTAGTTCCGTTGATTATTCATCACCTAGCTGAAAGTGAATTTTTAACACAGAAAGAAGCTGCATGGGCTATTTCCAATCTGACAATCAATGGAGATGCAGAACAGGTACCACCTATATAAGAATTTTGTTTTTGTGGTGTTTTCATTCTTGACTTTCATCTGAAAAGCCGTGAGAAGCTAGTGCCACTTAGCAGTTACCGTTTTTTATTTGATCACAGTTGTGTGTGCTACGTGTTTTTCAGGGTTCCAACCAGGCTCATCGCTTTCAATTCGATATGTAGATACTAAGCTCATATTCGTTCTATGATATAACGGCCATAATTTGATGGCATCCTCATTCATTGCGTTGTAGAGATAATTGCCGATAAAACCTTAAGGGCATGTAACTGGGAAATTAACAACCTGGTTTGCCAGGATTCAGTTTCATTGCACCTAGAAAGTAACCTAACAGTCAGTTTTCTTTATTCTAATACTGGTTTAATCTCCTCTTCTAGGTGAGGTACGTCATTGATCAACGTGTTATTCCTCCATTGTGTAAAATGTTGAGTACACGAGATGTACAGGTGGTTCAAGTCGTCTTGGATGGGATCTCAAACATACTGGCAGCAGCTGGTGATAATTTAGAACAAGTGACAACTGCTATCGAAGAGTGTGGTGGTTTGGATCTTATTGAAGCCCTTCAAGAACACCAAAACACAGATATTTATCGTTTGGCTTACGACATCATCGAACGCTATTTTAATGAAGGGGTAAGTTTTTTTAGTGTGCTGTTGTACGTCTCCAACTACGTCAAAAATATATTTACTTAAAATTTAGGGACGTGCAACACAGAAAGCATTAAGACTTGCACATATCTCGACTGTCTTCAGTGTGCAGCTGCTGAAAGTTGTGGGTTGCCACGAGTGGTTCTGTTTTTCAAGAGATTCTCCCAGATGAGTCCAAGTAGGTTCAGTACTAGGTGCTAGTTAGGCGAGTGCTGAAGTGTACATATTCCATCGTCCAGTCAGATTGCAGTTCATCGACCAAGATATTCGACTTCCAACCAGAGTCAGACTTTACCTACTGATTCTCATCACTTGGTGAATGATCGCATGTATCTGGTTGCAGATAAGCGGTAGTTATTGTACAGTGTGATATCACTTAGCTTTAAAATTATTTATATTATTATTTGTCCCTTGGGTTCCTAGTGGAACATAGGGCTTCAGTAGCACGTCAGCTTTGAAATGTCACTCCAGATTAATAACTTCTCTGTAGCTCTAGTCCCACTTGCTTTCGGCGAAAAGTACTTGTATTTACCCACTTGAACCATTCTCGTTTTTGAATTTATTTCTACACAGCAGGCAATAGTGTTAGGTGAAGCAAAGATTCATTTCCCGGTGTTAATAACAACTGGTCCTATGTATATTTACTGACTTGACAGTAGTTCAATGTTCTTTGAGGTCTGGTTTTCTGTCGCGACAAGACTGAACACACTGCACCGTGTCCAATCTCATCCTGTTCTACAAATCTTTATTTCTAAATTAGTCGATTTGATGGAATGCATCAACATGAATAAATCAATGTTACATTAGTCCATTAGGGCAAACTTTTGTGATGTTTATGATCATTTGTCCTCCAAGTCATCAGATGCAGAGCATTAGATTTTTAATTCCAAGTAATTCTTTTACCCAACTATTAGATGTAAAATTAGTTGTAGCTTGGCAGTGGAAACCTATATCTGTTGCTGACTAACTCATGCAAGCTTTAACGATTCACCTACGTCCCACTTTTTCTAGATGATTGAAGATCCCAGTACAGCATCGGTGGTTGCTGAAGATGAACACCTGGGTGGTTTTACTATGGTACCTCAAGTTCCAACTACTTTCCAGTTTGATACTGATCAGTGTAACTCTGATGCAACCGGAGGATTTGATTTTTAGTTGCTGTCATTTGTTACTATACAACAAACAATAGTTTGGAAAAATAAAACAAATTACACCTAGGTTACTTCCTTCGTACTATAATCACATCAACATGTACCACAATTAATATTTTTACTTCTGTCTTATCATTCGTAGTTACCTTATACTGGACATTAACTATGGCTCAAATTACTATTTTGATATGCTCCGACCTTCAACAGAATTCCGCTTGTTTTATTACTTCATATGGCTTTATTCTCCTCTCAATGCAAATTAAATTATTCGCAAAAGGTCTCTTACACTCATATTTTCATAAATCCTTATCTTTGGTAGTCTCTCAGCTATCCTAGTTGATTGGTTGACACCGATAAAACAACCGCCCCTCTCTATTTTGCATTTACTGAAAGCCGTTCATGCGGTTGTGGTTCTACTATTTCATTCCTTCGAGTTATCTCATCTGTTAAGAACGTAATCTTTACACTCCGTCGAATCACCAGTTTTAACGTTTCTCTCAGTTTAAACACCTCAAATTTTGCTCCAAGGTTTCTCCCCGTCTGTCGCGTTGCTAATTCTTAAGAAGTTTCCTTAGATCCATTTTTGTATGTCTGTATAAAGCTTTATGATTGCCTTGGCTGTTTGCCTATTCCTATTTGTTAATTTATTTGTTTATGAGTGTTTGATTTTATCTCATCTACTTTTTTGTTCGCGCTAGCATGTCTTCCTAGTTTTTTTCATTTTGGGTCAGCTCAGTACCATATAACCTGGTGATTTGGGCTGACCTTCCAGTCAATTTTGCCTTCAGTCTTATTTTCGTCAATCAGATTTCCGATTTTTCCTGGTGTGATTGTATAACTTATTATTTTGCCTTTGTCTTTCGGTACTCCAGTATCTATTTGCCTTTTCTGTGGACTTTTGTTTGTTGAACCACTTTCTTTAGGTCTTCCGCGTCGTTGATTTTTGAGTTTCTGAATTTTCATGGCATGTCTGTGATCTTAAAAAATGCGCAGTGTTTGGTTTCTCTCTACTCTCAATTTTAATCACTCTAGTAATCTCTTAGTCTAGTGAATTCATTTTTGGGGTTTCTACCTTGTCTTTCTTACTTCCCTCACCTTTAGATCTCTTTGTACGTCCAACGAAATGGTTATTTCCTCTTTCAAACTGCTGCCTCTCCCTTTGTATATACCTTCTATTTTGTCCCCAAGCCTCATAAATCAACTTTCACAACCTTACTTCATTCCCCTCTTTATTGGGCGGTTGTGCTTCAGTTTCCACCATCTGATTCTTCAGTCCTACTTCTATTTTCCTTTTGTGGTGCCCATCTAAGTTATTGACATTTTTCCTCATCAAAATTTCTTGTTTGTCCATCAGTCAATGCATAGACAACCGCATCTACACCTCTTTATGGATTTGATGTTTATTGTTTAAGTTCATTGTCAGTGGCTTGGGAATCTATCGAGATTACAAATTATTCGATGATGTTTGCTTTCTGTTCTGTTGAATAATTGATTCATGAATACACGTGTGGACTTGTAAACTGCCCTTTAAGATTTTATCTAATGCGTTATTAGACCATTGTTATGGCTTTTGATTACATTGCTCATTTATCCTTGTTTTGGTTCAGTCACAGTTTACCTACATCTTTGGTAAGGTCAGTCATTTGTTTTAGGTTTTTGGCAGACGTTGAATTTAGCTGGGTGACGTTATTCACAGTAAATTTTGTAGTTTCTCCAAAATCGAGTGACAATTTTATCTGGATCACCCCTATTTTCTGAAATTGCTTGCTTTTCCTCTTATTGTGCACCTAACATAGTATGGTTTTCTCTCCTTGGTTAATTCTCTGGAGTTTTATAAATTTATTAAATGCTTGTCCAAATTACTAGCTTTGTCACCTATCTAAAGAAGCGAAGTATAACTTTCACCTCGCAGTGACTAGGGTCCTTCGTGATGGAGTTTTCTGGAGTGCATGCCTCCAGAGCTACTTATTGCATGTGGGAGGCGATAAGCTTTCATCGTCATGCATCCTTTCTGATTTTCAATTACGGTAAGATAGTGTTTCCGCAGTAGAATTTTATCCTCAGATTTTGTGCTGACACTGGCATAATCATCCATTCAGTATTACCTGTCACAGTACCTATTCAAGGTCCGATTACGACCTGAAAAAAGTATCTGCCCACCTGAATAGGTTCGGAGCACAATGCAAGGAAACCTCTGTTTTGAATTGAAGATAAAAACATCATATGCATAACCAGAGGGTTCAATCAAGCTTTTGGCTCGAGTTCTTGAGCAGCTTGGTCCCTATATATTTGGTCACAGAAACAATGGGAATAATAGTGACCATTAAAATTAAGTTGCTTTAATATTTTAGTTCGCTGCGGACAACTGCATACCGATTGGTACTGGAATGGTGACGAATTTCGATATCCGTGATGATAGGTGACAAAGTTACAGGAAGTCAAAAAAACAGCTATTGTTGAACTTAGTGAAGTGACCAGTTAAACACTTGAATCAGAATTTGTTTGTGGGAATGGGTGAACTGACAAGCAATCATTACAGGAAGGTAGGAAGTTTGATAGGGCACGGAGGGACGCTCAAAATGTGCTGTGACGGCTACCCAGTTCCATGCTGGATATGGTGTAGATGTCGGCACTTGGACCTTCATCGGGATGGGAAAACCGATCCGAACCTAATCTGTGGCAGATCGAAACAATAGAAGAACCTTAAAAAAGGTAATGGTAAAAGGTTCCTGGGTACTAGTTTAAGATTAGGAACCAGATAGACATTCTTATCGTGACATGTTTGGGAAATGCTTCAAGACGCAATACCTCATTTCAGAGTTTTAAACGAGTGTACTTATTGGTTGGCAAAATCAACTTAAGATCTCGCAAACGGGTGCGTCGGCTCAGTTTACCGCATTTCACAGAAGTGCACCAAGAACTGTTGGAAAGAAAGTTACATCAAAGAAGATAGCGTGAGAGGATAAACAATGTCAAGTTAAAGAACGAAAAATTTGGCGCGTCTGTATCCGATTTGCATCCATACTACCAAAACTCTCCAATCACTGGTTTATGTCATCTTGGATTCCCTACCCAGGTGGTCTACACATACCAACGGATAGGGACCTAATGAACTAGTGCCGGGTCTTTGTCTGGTCACTATGATCCCTCTTCCAACCCAGTACAGCTTCCCCTAGCTGGTAGGCGGTGGATCGGCCTGCGTAACATGTCCAAGCAATCTCAGACGACTAAGGTTAAACCATGTTGCCTAGCCCTCTTTGCCTGACCTCATCATGGCTCACACGGTGAATCCACCAAAACATGAGCAGTGTTACGGAGATACTTGTTACCAAAGTCCTGTAATCTCTTTGTGTCTTCTACTTTCAAGTGCCATGTCTTACGCCCGTATAATGGGACAGGACGGGCTGTAGCGCACTATACTCGTTTCGTAGTTGGATATCTCACCAGTTGGCGCCGCTGACGATGGAAGCTAGTCACTGCCGAACAGGCCTGTACCCGAGGTGAGATTTAGTCAACCAGCTCGTTCAGGCTTATGGGACTCTTCAAGGTAGTGGTCGACACATCGCTCCTTATCATCACACAGGGGCTACTTGCAGCATACCAGTCCTAAAGCATCATCTTACATTTATTAGATGCGGAGAGTACTCAGATTTCTGCTCAACGCGTCCAGAAGGCCCTGGATCTTGTCAGCGTTTCCTCGTAGCAGAATAACATAGCCTGCATACTCCAGGTTAACCAGATGACCAGCGATGAGTTCAGAAATACCTAAGGTTACGTCCGTTAGTGCACCCAAAAGAAATTCAAAAAACGATGGTAGCGGGTATTTCTGCCACATGACACTAGTTGTTGGCAATCCTAATAGCATATCTCCTCAAGCTCTTGCATGGTTGCGCGGGTTCCACTGTATATATATATATATATATATATATATATATATATATATATATATATATATATATATATATATATATATATAACATGTTAATATGCTTGGCCGGTACTTTCTCCGCCACAACTCCCGATCGACAAGTTCAAATGCCGTCTTCAGGTCCACAAATTTGGCAAGTGTCAGCCCCGTTAGGCATGCCTGTGTTCCGTAACTTGTCGGAGGGTAAGATTCTGGTCGGTGCACCCTCGTCCAGGTCCGAGACCTGCTTAGTATTCTCCAGTTGGGTGCTCTCGAGCTCCACTTAGGCGTTGGATAATTACCGATTCCGAGTTTTAGGGCACAATATTAGTCAAACCACTTCCATTGTGGTCGTCACAAGATATCTCCCCCTACTTATGAACTGGGAGGACCGGATAAGTAAAACTATCTGACGACACTACCTCTGATTCCTATACACTCCCTAGAACTGCCACTTTATTGGGCAATATTCTATCTCCGTCTCTAAGAACTTCGAGTGGCAAAGTATAAAGTCCTACTGCTTTGGATCGTTTCAAGTTCGATAGGGCTTTCTCAACCTAAAGGAGATTTGGAGGACTGACATTCATATCCCAATCAACCCAGGTGCTGGGTAGCTGGAGCGTTGCTGGTGGCCGGTTGAAATATGCTTCAAAGTGTTCAGCGCAACGTTCTAGCCTCCTGTCGTGGGAGGTTATCAACGTCTCATCCTTTTCGGTGATGGTTTCACTGACCATGGTCTTCTTGCCGATATCCCTGATAAGCCTAAATAGTTGCTGAGTGTAACCACTGATGCCTCTTCACTCTCTCTCTCTCCACCCACAACTCCCAGTAAACGCGAAGACTCCTGGTCAATTTAAGTCAACTTACTAAGTATAACTTGGTATGTTACTCTTACTCTGCGTAGTGAGATCCATCTGAAATCAGTCTGTTCGGATGACGTTTTCTGACCTTCGGGTGTCGGTTGGTCATCAAATGCCTTTACCTCTGTTCCTACAGCAGACCCAGTTTTCTCGTGATGAAAACTGCTGTCATGTTCAGATATACTCTTGATCAGCTCTTCCCTTAATACGTGCTTGGAGTCCTTATCTGCCAATCGAGCACTGCCTTCTGTGACCAGCAAGACACAGACACGTACTAGCGCGTGATCCGAGTGTAAAGGGGTACTCCATAAGTGGCATTCCTCCACCGACCATCTCCAACATTATCTTATAGCAATATGGCTGATATGTCTATCGCTGGTTTGTTGCCGGTGTGCGACAGTTTCTCCTTATGCTTGAAGAAATAGGTGCTGTCACGTTTCAGTAGGTCATCTAAGACCTGAAGATGTCAAACCTAGCATAGAATTTAGTGCTGAACAGAAACAAGTGATTGTCGTAACAAATTTCCAGCAGACTATCACCGTTGGCCTGGGGTTCCGTTAATACCTCAGAGATGCCTTTCCGATCGGCTCACTTCAGGTTCCCTACGTGAGCGTTAACGTTTCGCTTTCCGTAGCGAAATCGACAGATACTCGTAGAATTCATCCTTTGCATCACCCGAACTATATTCGGTGGGTGAGTAGGCGGAGATAACGAATAGACCGCCTAATTTCACATATTCATTCAATCGAACAGCACATAGAGGGCTGTTTACTGGTATCCAATCAAGAAGTGCGCTTCCTACCATACTATGCCTACACCAGCAAGTACATGACAGCAAGCCACTGGGTCTCCAGGGTCCCCTCTTGAGGTAGATTTTGTAAGTAATCACTCGTGTACCTGTCCTTGAGACAGCATGCAACCAAGGCTGGAGATTCCAGAGTTCTGATGATGCTTACTGTCCGTTTTGGTTAAGAGTTCAGACGTTAAAAGCTACTACATGATATCGATAACGGAGTCTTAGTGGACTAGGAATGAGGTTTCAGTGACACTGATTGTTGGCAATGGTTGCAAATTGAGAGGTTGGGCAAGGCGTAAGAGACCTAATATTAATATCAGGAGGTGAAGACGGCTGAGAAGAATTGGTGATGTTTGATTGGATCATGTGTGCTACTGGAAGCATGCGGGCGGTTAACACTTCCCGGTTATCGACACCGTGGAAGGCTATCTCTTAAGGTATCTGAAAGAGAAAAATATTTTTGTGACCGCAGAGCTCATTGGACATCTGCTCGAGGCCTATTACACGCGGCTTTTCGCAAGTTGTTAGTTTGAAGTTGGGTTGTTCTAACACTGAATAGACAGGAGCTATACCACGGGCACCGAATGACCGTGGGGCACGATGGAGCGTGTTACTTTGAGGGTCGACATTTCCTAACCCACCATTCCCGCTTCGAAGGCAGCTTCAACGTGACACTACTGGTCATCGAAGGGAAACAAGTTACTGCTGTCACATTCCAGCCAGCAGAGTTATGACTTCGCCCTCGGACCCCCTCATAGTGTGGTAATTTACACTACAACGGTAACTGCTTTTCGTCTTACCCTTATCCATCAGACCTCTGTGGTATGGTAGAATCTCGAGGGTACAAGTGTTCTTCCAGCATGGCCCGTTGGTTCATCGTGATATACAGAGCTGACCACCACATCAAGGGATGAGTTATTTGTTGAGAAGCCAGTACTCAGAAAGATTGAAAACAAGCAAAACAGTTAGAAAGGGGTTGAAAGTCATCAGAAGTGGCCAAAGAAGAATGACTGGAATTATTGTATCTTGCTTTTTTCTGTTAAATACGATCACTAAAGGCGGACGAAATGAAGAGATCTTAGATTTTCGTCCACTTTTGCTTCCGTAACGTTGACTATGTGTCATGGCTCTACCATGTAAGATCATAACGGGATCTCGTACGACATTGGGTACGAGAGGTAATTCAGCTGGTGATGTGAAATTCCCTATACTAAGATTGCTAGGTTATATGTTACGCAACTCTAGTCAGGGTGTACTTCAACGCGTGAGGTTAGCTGTATTAAGGACAGGTTGAGAAAATGCTTAAGGTAACCAGCCTAAAATGTGTCATTTTTTCGTGAAGTCTGGAATTCCTGGTCCGAGTTATATAGACAAATATCTATTTACTGGTTGTAGTCTAAGTCGGTCACAAACACTTGAACTGAATCACCAGACAGATTTTGGTTCATACTTTATTGAAAGTGATTTATTACTCCAAGTTATTTTAAACCTGAATCTGAGATGATCTGTTTTGTATCGAAAATTGGAAAGGTGATTATCGATAACATCGTAATATTAGCTGTCAGAATGTATAAAATTAAATTTTATCTTGGTGCGCAAACTGTGTGAGGCTGTCGAGCTCTGGAATCTGACTCCAAATTTATATACGCGTCTAGATACACTATCACCTATCTATTATTCCCGACACTGTTGATCCACCTGCGTCAAGAGTTAACCCGAAGTATTTATCAT